CAGCCAAGAATGATGCTTGTTTGCTTCTTTTTTTCTGAACAAATTGCTGTTTGATGTCTTTCAGTGGCATTTAGAAGTTGTACATTGATGTCCAAGATATTTTTATGGATTAAACTTCTTTTTAATTTCTTATTCATTCCAGGTCCAGGTGAACTGGCAGTACTGATGAAGGGACCTGGAATTATGAATGAATGATGGAAGCACCTGATGAAGGGACCTGGAATGGTCTCGAAACGTTGTGAGAATTAAAAAGAAGTTTAATCCATAAAAATATCTTGGAAATTGCTGTTTGACACTTATTCTTTCCAATTGCAGAAACTTTATTCAGCAGAGTGAAGAGGGTCAGAAACTGCTGCTAGTTCAGTGTGGATCTGGAGACAGGAACCAGTCTCTCATCAGGAGTGCCCAGTACTGTGTTCTGGATGAGCTACATGATGCAAGACAGTTTGCTGTAGTCTTCATCATACAACTGCCTAATATTGCTGGAGGCTGCTTTTCTGGCTTTCAGGTGAATTAATATATGAATATTTGAACTCAAATGCATGGAAATAATTTGCAAATAACTTTGTGTATTGTTGCCCAGATTGGACTATAATTTCAAAAGTCTTCTGTTCTAAAACCTCTCACCATAGCATGGACAAATTGTTTCCATCATCTTACATGTTGATTCCCAGGTTGATACTAATAGTAAAGTGGGAATCAGTCTGTAAATGAAATCTGTGTAAAAACACCAAAGAAATGTAATGTAATTAACAGTTGTATTCTAAAACCAATTAAGTTATCAAATCAATACAAATCACTACAAACAGGGGTGGAAATAACCCATTGCCCGACGTCCGAGTCCAGTGCTTTTTTCTGTCGGGCAAGCAAATTTGTATATCACACTGTACCGGTGTCCAGTTGACTTTCCAATGTTTATTATATTATTTATTTAAAAAAATTCAAAGTCAGTATGTGATAATAGCTATGAAGTTAGTGATGGTAATATTCACCTCTCTGCTAGGCTGAGTGGTCATCACACAAATGCATGTCTTGTTGAAACTTGAGATGTAATGTGAGGTGAGAGTCAGCTCCACATATATATAAAACAAAACACTTCCAGATCAGTCTGTGTTATTCTGTGAATCAGCAAAGTTAAGAACACTGCAGCACTTCGGAATACAATCCAGGTTTCTTAGGCTAAGTATATCACAAGTCTAAATAAAGCACACCACTGTCTCTCACTGAATATCCAAACAGAATGTATAACACTTGAAACACAGTTACAATGATCTGGATGCCTGCTTGTATTTGAGCTTTCCAGCTTCATGTGTTGTGAGAAAGCCAGATTCAACGAATTTCATGTTTCAATCATGTGTTTGGAAAATGAACGTTAAACTTGTCAGCTGCAAAAGAAACTTTACTTTACTCCAGCTCTTATTTTCACTCTTTCAGGCAGGAAAATGGCACTCTTTGCACCTTGATGAACTGAAACCTCAACACAGACACTTGCCCACAGTGGAGCAGCTACTTGAAAGAACTCCTTCATCCATTCTAAAAGGAATCAAAAAAGATGCTCATTCAGCAAGAGCAGTGAGGAATTGTAGCATCGGTGAGGATGTGAGGCAAGGTGTACAAGACTCATCTGTTGAAAGTAGGACACAGACATTCATGACAATTGAGGAAGGGCCAAAATTAGTCTTCAGAAGGCTAGAGGCTGAGGATGACCTTGAAGAATGTCCCATTGCTCCTTACTTCCAACACCTCCTCCTGCCCTGCATCCAGTCTGCTGCTGCTCTCATCAGGGATGAAGACATTAAACGCTCCACCAAGAGGATAGAGATACTCCTTCAGCTTCTGGATAGCACTGATAATGAAGGTCAGGGATTTTTTTACTGTTTAAGTGGTTTGTTTGTGTTTCTGTATGCATGTATGAGCTTTTGGGATAGATCAAAAATGGTTTCAGGTACATTTTTAATTTATTGCAGAGTATTTTGTACTTGGTACCTGTTCATAATTCCAGAGTCAGAAATGTTCATGGAAGCTCTTGGAAGGCTGATTATCAGTTTGCTGAAGGAAAAGGAGGAATTGATGAGTTATGCATCCAATCCTAAGAACTGGCTGTTTACTGAGGCTGCAAAATCAGAAGAAGTGCAGAAAGCTGGCACTTTCAGGTAGCAAAGATTTCTTATGATGTACATATTCAATATTCATGTTGCCACAGGATTCATACTTAAACACAAAAGATGTGCTGCAATTCTTATAGGACATAAAAATGGTTGTTTGAATATACCGGTAAGCTCACAAAGAACCAGACAACATTCTGTGGACATCTGAAGTACTGGTGTGAGTGTATCAGGGGAATAAATCCCCAGTTCTCTATTCTTGTAAGAGCCAACTTCAGTGCATTTTGGGTGGTTACATCATGTGGCTTGGCTATTTATGTGCCATCTCTGCCATACAGCTGGAATATTGCTGAGTGTGGCGTAAAACTAAATTCACTCACTCACTATGTGCCATCATACTTTAACAAGGTTGGGCTGATGCACTGTTTAGCTAATAATTTATTTACCAGTATTTAAGTCTTACTTATGTTTTCTTGCCGAACTCTTGCAGGCTTTATTTGCAAAATAACAATCAGTTTTACTCACTGTGGATTGTTCTGAAACAACTAATTTCTCTGTCCATAGACGTGCATGGATACTGTGCCTTCAGAACAAAATTACCCCAGTACTGGCTCGAGTTCTGGCTTTCCTAGACACCAGTAGGAACCTGGACTTCATGCATGAAGCTGATGTTGCACCATGGACGAAAAGACTGTGGCTGGGATTGCTAAACAACACCAAAATCTGTCAAGACCAATGTAAGAGGATCGTCTTCCAGAGCAAAGATGATCAAAATCAGTTCATTGTCTGCAAATCTGAGGTTACAGTTGAGTTACCTTTCCACTGGATGCTCTTCCATGATGTGAAAAATGCTGTTGTGCAGGCAGAGGCTATGGGGAAAACCAGAAATAATGGTAGGTCATAGTCAAGGAAATAATATGATAATATGGCTTTTGTTTAAATGGCTTGACCTGGACAATTCATTTTCAGAGGGTGAAACTGATTTAAGATTTTGTAATTAATTCTAACAAAATGCTAATCTATTTATTTATACAGAGTAATTAATTCTTAATAACAAAATGTGAATCTATTCATTTATACAGAGGACATATTGAGCTATGTGGAAAACATCATCAGCAACACAGTGTATGGAGAGGCCCTGTTGTCTGTTGTTAGAGAAGAGGAACAGACTGAAGTGGTTAAAGCATACTTAAAAGATTTTGTGCTGTCTCTCTATCCTGGAATATCTGAGCACTGGAAGGTAGGTATCTCCTTCCTTGGTGAATGTGATGATATCATATAGTTATGCATGGCTACAGTTTGAAAAGGATTTTGTTGGTATGATGAGAAGGCAAGGCCTGAGTAATTGTCAAAATCCATTAGAATATGATACATTAACTGAACAGTTTTGTAGCAGTGTGAAATTTCTTTGGTAGAGTGCAAAGCGCTCAGGTTTAATGGATGTATTCTGGGTCATAGCATGTCAGAGGGGTATCACAACAAAACCTGTTTAGTCCAGACATACATACACACAAAAACAGCACAACAAAACACATGTCACATGCACACATGTCAGTATGTAAGTGAAATGATCCCCATTTAGACTCCCCAGTAGACTTGAACTGACATGTAGTAGATTCCACTTGATATTGTTTCAATGATGTTCCCAGATTCTGTGTCACGCCCTTGAGAGTGCAGCCCGACAGAGAGGAAGAGACCTGGATTGTCTGGGGATGATACGAGCTGTAGTCTACATCCATGTTATCCACTCTGCTGCCAAAGAGAGGCTACAGCTCTTCCTGGAAGTGATCCAGATCTGGCCGGAAGTTGTGATGGCTGTGACTCAGTTGAAGGAGAGGGTAGGGGGAAACCCACTGCTCACAGATGATGAAATGGTGTGTGCTTCAATGATGAGTTCGCACATTTGATTCAGAATCTTATGTATATGAATATATCATACAGTTGATAACTCATACATTGCCTGTGATATCCCGATTTGTAATCTGGTTTTATGGTTATGTGTAATAATACCATGACAATGATAACCATATCGAGCTATCGTTCACTGGTTTATAGTGATTACTTTTTGACTGTCATGATATAGCATAACTTGACTTGTGAGTCTCTCAAGATTATTTAGTTTCATTACTACACTTAATATATGACAACAGTTCACATATAGGATTTTGAATTAGAAAATACTTCTATTTTACAATGCAGACTGTGTCTATGTCCAATGCAGTACTGTACTCCTACTTTACTTCAGACTTTGGATGTTCTGAGTCTGACACTTCTCATGGAGCAGCTGGAGCCAAGTAAGGATGAGCTGAACACAGACAAAGGCCGATCAGACTGGATGGGTCGTGTCAAAATGTATCTGCCTGTGATAGGTAGAATCCTCAGTACTACAGACACAGACCTTGCACATGGCAATGTGTGTCGCCAGGCCATGGATCATGCCAGGTAATTAAAGTTGCTGTGTCTCCCCAGTTGATCGCCCACCTTATAGCAAGACAATGACAATAGATGATCAATTGATTCAGGACAGTATTCCAGCAGGTCCAGCTTTAGGTTCTACTTTTCCCAACATTTGTGGTATAATCAAGCATGATTGTTGAAGAAATTGTTTGATGACTTGTAGCATTTGTTCCCATGTTTCTTCAGGTGAACATGTACCTTTGCAGGATACACTCACAAGTTTCCAAACATTTTCAGTTTTTTATTTGTGATTCAAAAGGACATGCTCATGGTGGTCAGAATCATACAAACAACTTATAAGATTTGTTATGAATTTATAAAGGTTTTTGTTGCTATTATAATCAAGATGATAGCTGACAAAATGACCATATATTTCTTAACCTGCAGTACATACAGATATTCAGGTGACCTGTTTGGTTGGTATTTCTGTTTTCCAAGGTGTGGTTGGATGCGGAGTGATGACAGTAAAACTCTTCCTGGAGAGCTTCACAGGCAACAAGAAGTACCAGTTGGAAACATCACTCAGGCCTCTGTGGACGGTAAATGAAACATTGACATGGCCATACCTTTTTCAATATTATTTACATTTTTATGCAAAACATCAGCTACTGTATAATGGCCATTGCCTGAGTTGTGGATGTTATCATCGTGGCAGGACATGCTAATTCTTTCTGCAAACACCTGGTGTCATCATTGGATCTTCATGATCCATTCATATTTTTACCACTTTTTTACCTTTTACTCCCAATGTAATCTATCTCTGGCAACAGTGAGTTATGTTTGACTGATCCATTAACTCTTGGATGAAAGGATGGAGCATGGAAAGAAAAATAAATAAACTTTGGTGAACTTTCATGTTCACCACATAAGAACGTCTGCATATGATATATTCAACTGCAAAACAAAGGAGACTGGCTGTACAAAGACTTTGGATGTGGCAGATTACATACAAAAACAAAGAAATGTAAAAAATCAAAGTGAACAACTCTGTTCTAAGATTGTACCAAATATGATTTTGCTCACTTTTTAGTGAATTATGCATGACTGTGCAGTGGGTTTAATTATCAGCTTTGCATCTTTGTTCACATATTACTGAGTCTCACATGACATAAAACAGTGTTTATATGTGATTTTCTTTGCAGATGTTGAAAAGAGAGGATGCCTTAACCAAAATTTCATTACTGGAAAAAGTTGAGAAATTTCTGAAAAGTGTAAACAAGGCATTTGAGAAGGAAATTGCTGGGTGAGTTTGAGCAATCTTCAAAAAGGAATACACTCCTTCTCTGAGATATTTTTGGATTCCAGAATACAATACCATGCTCAATATTGGTTATCATGGATAGATTTTTAGCAGTTAACACAAGATTATTAAAACATGACCTCACTCTAGTTTGATGACTCACTCTAGATATGTTTAAAATCTACATCTATCTACAGCTTTGGAAACATTTCAAGGTGTTGAAGCAAATGGAAAATAGGTGGTAGTTACTGTTATTTAACTCCACAGTCAGCAGTATAATATCGTCCTGTGAACTTTAGCTCTCAACCAGGAGAACCAGTGTCTGAAAAGCTGAACAGAGACCCTTTCTGAACCTACCTCTCAGTCCAGAACCACATTCTTTTGCTTTCCACACAGCCTTCTGCAGTTTAAAAGCATTAAATGAAACAAGTTTAGATATTCCCCAAGTTCAGGCACACTGGGGCTCCCTTTCAGTCTGACTTGGGTTATTTGTTTCTATCAAAATTATATATACTACAGGGTTCGAAATACTCCATATATTAGGGTGCCATGGCACGGTAAATATTGAAATGGCACGGATAAAAACTGTTCTCTGTGCCCTTGTGGCACGCCTAATCTTTTAGAGACATAACTCACCTTTAGTCATTTAAGACCCAAAACAAGACACTTATGCAAATGACAAACAAGCAAAAACATTTCTTGACTTTATCGCCCAGGAAATCAATGGAATTATGATTGATGATGTAAAGAAATCTAGTTGTTTTTCCATTAAGAGTGATGGGAGTACTGATAGTTAGGTTATTGAAGAGGAAATTGTGTATGTTAGATATGTTGAACAATTACCTGTCACAAAATTCTCAGCTATTAAAAGTGTTTGGAAAGTAGTACAAATGAAGCTTAAGAAAGCCATTTTAAACAGAAGACATATCAGTGAAAACAGAAAACAGGTTACATTTGTTGTTTACTAACAATAAATTTCAAAAGATCATCATCACTGCTACAGTCATTCATTCTAAAAAACATGTGGGCACACTTGATTTCTGAAAGGCACATTTAAAATATTTACCCGGTGCCCTAAGGCACACTTAGAAAATAAAGTATTTCTACCCCTGTACTAAGAGACTAAGCGTTAGTCTAAAACTGTGTAGTACAATAAAAGGCCATCAGGCATGTCACACATAGTAGCCACTGTGTCAGAAGATATACCTGAGTGAGCTACATGAGACTGAAAACATGCACAGCCCACACACTCTTAGTACTATGAAATGCCCTCAGCCAACAGGGGCAGACACGTCGTCTTGAGAAAGGGGGGTGCACACTCTTGAGAAAGGGGGCTGCACACTTCATTTTCACCTGTTTTCAATGATCATTTAATAAACTTTCGGGACAAAAGGTGGGGAGCACACACCTGCACACACATGCACGCACACTCATCTGGATCCACCTGTGGCAAAGTCACAAGCTATCAGATGACAAATATAACTTGCTGAGCTACATCTATTTCAGCACTTTTTAATATTTTTCAGGAAAATGGGTAAATGCAGTCATTGTGACACTCAGTTTGGTGAGGCTTTGGCAGCACATTTACCTTGTGGAGACAAGATCTGTTTGAGATGTTTTGCTGATATCCAAGTGACAGATTCATGGGAATGCCCCAAATGTAGTGCTGCAATACCTTCATCATACAAACCATGCAACAGCTCAGAAGAAGACAGGTAGGTTGTTTTTCTGCATATCAAGCGATGTAAAGGTCGTCAACTGCTGATTGCTGTGTACCTAATTCATTTTTATATTTAGTTAGATTTGGAGAGTACCAGTATGTGTTGAGAAATATATATTCTGAAAGGCCATAAAAATGTTGATAACACAGTAATATTGTAAGGCATGATATGAACTTTTTCCTAATACATTGTACTTCTATCTGTGTACGCTACAGACATATTGTCAAGAAACATGCAGGTGGGTCGTTACTGTTATTATGTACTTTTTAGGATAAAAGGGTGAAACCTTCAATGTTCTTATTGAGTTACTGTACACATGTACATCTACAACATTGGGAATGTGAATAACCAGGCATTTCACTGTTACAAGTCATGTATACAACAGACAAAAGTTGCATGGAAGCATAGGCATGGGAAATTTTGTTCTTTTTATCAAAATTTATAGAATTTGAAAAATAATGGTATCAGTCCTCAGCCCAATTCAGCAGTACATTTCCAATCTTTAAAGGCAATCAGGAGTTTGGGTTGCATGCTTCTAAAATAATAGAAAATAATAGGTAAGAAAATATTGGCAGTTAATTTTGCTTCACAATTTTGTATTGTGATTGTTGATGTAGTTTTTTATATAGGTACTTACATTTTCTTCATGTGAAACCAAACAATACATGAACATCTCTTAAGAAGATTATGGGTACCCCCTTTTGTTTTTGAAGCATCCTAACTGTATTAATGTACCACACCTTAAACTTAGTCACATATTTCCTGTACAGGGAGGTGTTTCAAGAATATCGTGACTACCAGAAGTGCTGCAACACTTTCCTCATGGCTGTGGTGTCCAAGCTGTGTCTGAGTGGGAAGGATGCCCCTGAGAGTGCTGTGGTGCAGAAAATCTTCAGCTACATCATTTATAAGGCGAGACATGGCCAGACAGAGGGGCGACTGCATACCAAAAAGATGTCTGTATTCAGTGACACAATTGATTCCACACCGGTGGTTAGATCCTTTCTTCTTCAACTTCTCATACGCAAAAGGTAAAGCATGTTCTTTTGCAACATTCACTTAGTCTTCCAACCATTGGTCATTTATAGTCATATCTGATTTGTGACTTAATTACTGGCAAACAAGGATAAGTTGAGCACCGACCCGACAATTGACCCGTATTAGCATGTATGAGTGCCACCCACTGGCGCTTGCCATTGTGAGTGAAGGGGACCCAGGTTGTCCGCAAACAAGTGTAGTGTGATTACTGACTTGCTACACCGACCACGTGAGAGGCTTATGAGCAATGTGTGTGCAGCTATGCACGATATCAATTTCATCGTCATGTAATGCATGTGTACTAGCCTACATCTGCTCTACCTTTCACAAACCTAATGGGTTTGCTCATTGCCGTGCACCGCCTACTTCTCGTAAACACATTCTCTGCACCAGTGGAAGTCGGACAACTGGTAGTCTAGACTGCGGGCTTTGTCTACCCCTCTGATGCGTGTTAATTGGCAGGGCTCCCACGGCCGAAATCTATGATTACACAAGTCGCGGTAGCTGAGTGGGTTAGGTGGCTGACTTTGTGTGCTAGCGATTAGGTGCCTGATTGTCAGGGTGTAAGTTCGAATCCCGGATGGGACTCAGCTCAAAAAGTACTAGAATTTGTACTTTACTAAGAAAGTGTAATCACAAATATAACATGTTACATCAGAGGAACAAGTGTGTGTTTTTTTGTCATGGAGCCTTGGAAACGTGTCTTAAAATTAAATAATTAAATTTGAAAAAAGTTAAATACCTTTAATGTTGCTGTTGTTACTAGTTGTATTTCTTGTTTTCAGTGAAGAAACTGTGCAGGACTACCTCCAGGATTTCTTCTTGCAAGCCAAAGCCCTGTGTGAACAAGGGACAGATGAGACGTCTCAGGATACTATAGACAGAATTGTTCAGTTCAGTCTTCTTGTGATACACTGCTTTGAGGTGGGTTGTTTAACTCTAAACATGTGTCCCTAACTGTGTGCATTGTATACTTATATAAGATTCCATCCATTCTACTTTATACTAAAAATTTCATAACAAGTATATTCATATTTAATATATTTCCTGGGACTGTATGGAATGAAAACAACACTTCCCTGTTTTTTTAAAGTAGGATCCTCTTGATCTAGAGTTGAAGTCTCAGTTTTTCTGTGATGCCCGGTTGGCTGCACCATGTGGATAGTATGGATGTCCATCACTTTGGGCGTGCCTCTCACATTAAGTGAACTCATATTATTATCAAAAGTCTTATGTCCAAATTGAACTTTTGTCCTTACAGTTATATTTGAGTACATAAAGCTGCTGATACTTTAAAGGTGTAACTTATGTACCTTTTTGAATTATCAGGACCTGTATCATGAAAGAGCAGCCAGTGTTTGTAGTCCAGATGAAGAAATGAAGATGGCAAGATTCCATCTTGCTGAAGCCAGACAATTCATCATGGTGAAAGAACTTGACATGGCGAAGATGTTTACTGTAGCCAAATGTCGTTATGGCCTGTCAGTTGCTGCTAAGTTCTTACATGCAGTGTTAGTTCAGAAGACTCTTTCTCAGTCAGGACCATTTGACCAACTGATCCAGGAAGTGACAGATCTGTTGGACTTTATCAGGATGGACTGGCCAAAGTAAGGTCGAAATAATAGATTATCTCAGACAGTTGGTTCAAGACTATTGTTTAGTAATTCTAGCTGTGAAAATACTAGTATGCATAGTCCCTACTTTTAACATTTTAATCTGGAGTAGCTGATTGCCAAACATGATTGAATTTCTGCTGATTTTAACATGAGTCTGAACCAGAGAACTGAATCATGACACATTTAGGATGAGAGTGTTTTCAACATGGTTTGAAATAATGATGATGTTTTTATATGCTTATAAACAATGTTGGTTTAATAAGGACTGGTGGGACCAGAGTCAGCATACTGTGTCTGAGAGGGGTATGCATATTAAACTGCAGCATGGTATCTCACTTTGCTAAAACAATAAAACTTTCATTATTTGCAAACCAGCTTTTACCCTCACAATACAAAATAATTGCTCTGTAATACTCAATAACAGTTAGTCTTAGCTATTTAAAACCTGTTGAAAATATCATTATATATTTTTAAGTGTTGTGTCATGGTTGAATAATCATTTTGTTTTTGGCATTTTGCAGGAAATTTCTTGTGAAGCAGATTTGTAGAGAATTTGGCACTGACAGCTATCAGACAATCTGTAGAGCAGCTGGATGGCTTGCCCTTGACACAACAAATGAGGTAATCCCTCATGGCTTTATATTGGATTCCTTCAAGTTGAACAACAATATCTATTATGTTGCTCAGTAAGACTGTAAGTTCAAGCAAACAAATGCAATGATGTGGAGCCTGCTGTTTGTCACCAGTCTGTTCACCCTACAAGCTGAAGTAACGAACCTGAAACTTTGGGAGGGGCCGTTTCCATTAGAATTTATTCATGGCATTAGAAGTAAAATTTTCTTGTTTGCAAAAAGACAATGATATGCAGAGAGTGCCACATGGAAATCCTTTCAATGTTTCCTTGATGCCAACCTTTCCTCCAACATGAAAACTAATATTATATATGCTCATATAGGAATAATTTATAAGCATCAAGCATCACCTACTGCTTCTGTTTTCCTTTACCATTATTCACTCATTCATCCACATACTGTAAATCATGAAATTAATGCGTCACGAATTTAATGCGAGTGCGAGGGTCTTATCTAGTCTAAAATGCGTCATGAAATTAAAGCGAGCTCAGGAATCTGTGTTGATGATAAAATGTGACACATTGAATCTTTGATGTTGTTCTTTTCCTTTTCACACTTGTTATTTACCAAATAACCTGAATTGAGCTTGTTAAGCAATGGATGGAAATGAGCTGACAATGTTTTGATTATTCTGCCATGGTTGATCACGTGATTGCATACTACTACTTGTCTTATGACAACATGTATAAAAGTGATCCGACTTGAAAGACATACTAGTAAGTCATCTACCAAGGTACAACAAACGATTGGCTGAAGAATGTCCGGTCTGGCTGATGTGCTTGAGTGACTTTAAACAATGACCAGTGATTGTAACCAGTGATAATTACATGTGGTTTGAGATAGCTGAAATGAGGAAGTGACCTGTATTGGTGTAATGTGTAGTGTCAGCAGATTTACGTTTTCTGTCTTTTAATAAGTTCTCAAAAGTAGACATGGTCAGACTGAAATGCGTCATTATAATAATGCGAGAAGAGTACAGATGCATTTTTCACATTAATAGAATGCTCGCATTAATTTCATGATTTACAGTAACTTTCATCCTACTCAGAATGTAGCTGTGAGCAACAGTGCCTCAGCACTATTTTTGTGTGCCCCATTTCAAAACACTTACAAAACATGTGTTATATGTCTTAAATGTCACAACCAGTATACTTGTATTGTTACAGATTATTGAGTGTCCAGACAGATACTTGGTGTGCCCACTCAGCTATCAGAAAATCAGAGAAGCTGTGGCCAAAACTCTCCTTGGACAAAACATAAAGCCACTGAAATCATTGGTTAAGGTAAGCAGAGATGTTTTAGATACAGGGCTCCATATAATATACTTGCTCTTAAATAGAGGATTCTCACAACATGCAGTGGTTATACCCTTTTGCATGTGATCAAAACAGAGGCATTTCTCGTTGACACAGGTGAAAGTCAATCAGCCAAAGATAGACCTTTGGGAGGTTTATTTCGTCATAAAGAATCTGTGTTCTTGATGAAGTGTCACAGTTCTGTTTGAATGATTTCATTCCAATACTGAGGCAAGTCCAGTATTGTTGAATGGACGAAATACTGATGTTTGATGCTTGAGTGTGCACACAACTCCCTCCTCTAGATCCATAATTGAGTTGATTTGTCTGTTAGTGATAGGACTAACTAAAAGAGTTGTTAAGCATGGAAATATTCTCCCCAAATCTTAAGAAATTACAATTAATACATTTTGACAAAATTGTTTCCAGCACTTTTGACAGTACATGATATTTAATAATCATAGTTTACTCTTTGGACATGTCCCCACTACAGATTATGTGTAAATGATCAAATGGTATTTTTTGCTGTGTCATCATAATTAACTTATGGGGTTTATTTTTTCAGAATAATGAAATGTTATTCCTCCTGGCACTGCACAGAGAAGTTACCATGAAAAACATCAACCCAAGCAGTGAAACTCCTATACTGGTATACTATAGTCAATAGCCTCTTCTCTATCCTTGTTTACCTATCTTAACAATGTTCATCAGAAATATACAGATGTTTACCCTTTTAGACAGCTTATGTTTGACCTGAGCTTATCAGAATTCAGAAAGCATAATGCGAATTTCTTAGATGTGTGTTGTTTACATATAACCGTGTTTGCAGATGACTAGTAAAAACGTAAACCCAAACATATTTCATGACTGTGTGAGCTGATTTGTTGCATGCTCCACCACCCTGCATTGGGGAACACACACCCATAGTATGATCAATAATATAATCTGTAAGTGAAATTTCTCCCTGAAGATAAAACTGAAACGTGTCTGAGGAAAATTTGCACTACACTACTGTACACTGCTGAAGTTTGCCCTTGTATACATATATCAACTCACAGAACATTTAATATCTTGTCATGACTCTTTGCATGCACACCAGGCATGCAATGAACTTGTGCCTGTTGGCATTAAGGATTTTTACACATAGGCTTGCGCCAGACTGGCTTTTTACTATTTAGAATGTTTTGAATATTGTTGAAAACTCTAACGAGTTGGTTCAGATGTATGTGACCTTCTTCTCGTTTCGTATACCACATCATAGCTGGAATTCCAGGTTACCTAATTTACTGTTATGTTATGGAATAATGATTTAGTGCATTTATAGTATTACATATTACCACTATCCAATGAAAGTTTCTGTCTTTTGAAAACACCTTTAGTAAGTCACATCTATTGAAGGTATTAAAAGCATTTAATGAATTAGGTAATTTTGTTGTTTTGTCATGAACTATAATGTCAAGTGTACTCATAGATGAATTTGTCTCCTTGTTTTCAACAGCAGAAGTCTTCACACAAGATAACTACATACATACAGAATGCCAATGGAACCATGAAAGCAAAAGTAAGTTGTCCAGAATCACACATACTCCAGGCATACGGTTCTACTTATGCAGATTTAGTTGATGTAGAGATCTGCAAGCACGAAAAGCTGAGAGTGTAGATAGAGGCAATTGCATTTTAAAGCTCTTGTGGAATGAGCATGATCATCACACCAATAAATATATAATGTAAATTGTTTACCTGTCTGACTTAGAGTTAAAATGTGCAATGTACCTGTCACTTTTTGCTATTCATAGCTTCACTTGTCCTTCCGTGTGTGAGTCTTTGTCACCATTATGTACCATTCTGTTACAATACTATGGTCACATTTGATGCTGAAAGTGTCAAACATATGATAGATAAGTGGATTTAACCTATTCTCATCCTATCAACCCTATACATTTGCACACAATAAAACCAACAAGATAAATGAAGGACCTGATTATTAACTGTAATGCATCAGATGCTATGGCTTTGAGACTGCTTCACTGTATTTGTGGATATACTAGGAACTTGCTCTGAAGCTGCTGAAGAATGAGTTTGGTAGACCTGGCTCCCCCCTGAACGTCACAGAAGGACAGGGAGTGAGAGACCAGAGTCTGGTGTGCCTGCTGCTACACACACATCTCGTTCTGACACACTTCAACAACAAGCCAGGCTTTCTGAAACCACTTTCCGATCTCATACTGCATCCAGAAGACATGGTGGTAAGACAGTAACAAAGATATATTCAAAAGTATCATTTAAACTTTAACAAAGTTAAAATTATTTTAGTAGCAGGTGATGAAGAAGGAAGGAAAGATCTGAATGGATATACACTCCTTCAAAGGTTGTACAGTAATTTCTTTGAAACTTTTCTTTTCCCAGTTTTCATTTGCTTGCCTGTATCACATCACATATCATAACATGCTGAGGCAGAAGCATTAGTGTAAATGTTTTTGCTTGTGTGTCAGATTGAAAGGTAGCAGAATAAACATCGATAATACGATGTGCCGTTGAGATTGACATCCAATGATCGAGGGGAAAAATACCAGTGCCTTGAGCATGCACTAGTGCGTGGATATGTGTGCTATATAAATATCCTATAATAATAATAAATTAACATATATGTGTCTCAGGTTTTCAGTGGACCTGATAATTAAAGTAAGTCCATGCATGTATCGGGACAGGATGGTTCACACACTGCAGACACACATAATCAAATGTCAACATGTACAGTGAATTATAACTACACGTTTTTATTTTCAAGGACAAGTTTTTGCCTACAATGCCACAGGATGATACAATGTTGTACCATGAGATACTACTGAGATCAATGAAGGATGCAGACGAAACTGTGAAAACATTCAGTGAGTCGTTTTGCCTTGTGATATCAGTTTCATGTCCCTTTAGCATTTTTTTTTACCTCCAGTGGGATTCTCTCCTGTGATTCGAGATTAGAGTATGTTTTACTGGTGGTCAGACCTGGTGACTTTGTTCCTGGTGCATCATCATACCCCAACACCATGGTTAATTACTCACAATATCAATCACTGGATTATCTGGTCCAGAGTCAGTTCTTTACAGTTAGAGCTGCGTATCTTGGCTAATGTGGCAAGACAATATCTTCTGATGCTCATATATCCTGGAGGTATGATATGTTATTGTCAGTATTTTACAATGAAGTGTGAGATGATGTATGTCATGATACATGGGTGCCGATACGATATGTATCACGATACCTGTCTGAAGCCAAACAAAATGTCTTGAGATAAAGAAAACTTATTTATTTATTGAAACTTTGACTTGAATTGTAGATGGTGTTGACTGACAGGCAACTGACATTTGTAATGTTACCACTGTACTTGAGGGGAGGTATTGCATATTGTACAGATCACAAGTTGTCCGTTAAACATAACAGTCCCTGTTTTTGATCATTGCCCCAACATCCCAAGTATTTCCATGCCATGGCCTATAATGCTGGTACATTACAATATCATCTGCCATTGTAGTGCCATGCTGCAAAATGGGTCATTCATTCACTTTCTTAACTTCAGACTTTGCTGACAAATTCCGCGAAATTGTGTTAAAACGTAACATCACATCGGCAGTATTTCACCTATATTGTGACAAGACAAATTCTGAATTTGGTACTTAGCAATTACATTTAATTACTACCCGACTGGATTTAGGTGGGTCGAGGAATTTGTAATAATTACACGTAGTAATTCAATTTATTACCCACGTGGTCAACGTATAGGTAGGTGCATACTAATCTCGTACATCACACGTGTGTCGTATCGCAATGACCTGTGTCGTAACGACTTGACCTGAGATTCTAACGATTTGATTGGATAACCGATCACCTCTCAATTAGGTCACGTTGTGACGGAACTACCTTTTCATTCGTAACAAACACATGAATTCATTCATTCTACAACTTAAATGCATTGTGGGAATGTAAACATTGCGAACGTTGCCGTATCGCTGTTTAATTGGGAGTCGAACTGAGACATTATATGCATCGAAAAACATAAACGCAAAGTTTCCACCAGTGATGTTAGCTGAGTGAAGCAGTTGCAAACCAAGAAACGGGGTGCTACTGGAGTAGTTTAATGTAGGAGGCTGTGCAGAGGCAATGACAATGGACATGCATCGTGGCGTTGGTTACCAAGGGGCAGACGAGCAAGGTGTAGTGGCGTCATTACAGTGTGACTTCATGCAAAAGTGTACAATAGAACAACATTCTTCCGCAACCTCTAATGAAACCAGTTTTGGTTTGAAACCATAAAAATAACAAAAATACGCTATTTTGTCAATTTAAAGCATGTAAGACATGGGTAATAAATAAAATACCACACTCGGTCTCATAACATACGACGATTATCTGAAGCTCGGTCGTAGGAAGGAGACACTGCTTCTTCTTATGGTATTTTCTGACACCTCGCTTTGAAAAATGCCAAAGGTACTTCCGGTCAGATACCATAGGAAGGACACTTTCACACATACACATACTTACTAATGTAGCTGGGATTAATGAATATAATTCGTATGTTATGAGACAATGTGTAGTAGGAACCTCTATATATGTCACAACACCTACTTTCAAAATGACATTTGAAAAATGCCAAAGGTACTTCCTAGTTTGACCATTTGTTAAATGTTAGATAAGTTTTGGGAGATGTTGATTTTCTTTTTCACACATACACTAATGTAGCTGGGATCTAATGAAAATCAAACAGGCTGGTTTGGAACCAGTCTTCAGTACAGCCAGGAACCAGTCTGTAGGAAGGGTTGTATTGTTAATGAAAGTACAGCCAGGAACCAGTCTGTAGGAAGGGTTGCATTGTAAGTACAGCCAGGAACCAGTCTGTAGGAAGGGTTGCATTGTAAGTACAGCCAGGAACCAGTCTGTAGGAAGGGTTGCATTGTAAGTACAGCCAGGAACCAGTCTGTAGGAAGGGTTGCATTGTAAGTACAGCCAGGAACCAGTCTGTAGGAAGGGTTGCATTTTATGTACAGTCGGCAACCAAGCTGACTCTTCAGTTACATTAACACAGGAAAAATAATTTCGCTTGGTGCAAATTTTGGGAATTGACAGTTTAGACTACATCGCACGGTCAATTATTCGCGCAATCAGTAATTGCTGGAACTGCCAGCTGTCTCTTAGGCCGCCACTAATAGCAATGAAAACAACCAGAGTGGCTTAACCTGTCAGGCAGCGTGTATTGCTTACTCACAGGAAATCCCAATACCTGCGCGATACAGCAATACGTTTACTCACGGAAGTATTAAGTACTTAGGAAGTGAGATATCCTGATGGTACTAGTATACTATATAAAGAGATGAAAAATACATCAGTCTTATGTTCCGAATTCTGAAGATCTGATGATGGCATTGCGAATGTGGTTAAAGAAAGCACCTACCCCCAAGACACCTGGACTTCCAGACTTTGTGATTTCATTTCGTGATATGCAGGAATAAATAAAAATAAAATCTTAATGAATAAAAAAAATACTGCTGTATTATTTCTTTCCGAGTCATTTCATGGTATCCGTTTTGTATAAAACCATCTGTCACTACGATTGATCAAAATAGAACATGTCGGAACATGATTTGGGAAATCCATTACAGCGACAGTTAAGTATGATTCTTTGTGCTACTATCAGTCATCATTTTAAGATTCCCGTAGATTTCTGTCTTGAAACTTGATGTGTTATGGTAACAACTCAGAGACGACCGTGGGTAGAGTTGAATGAATGAATGAAAGGTTTATTCGCTGTGTATAAATTTTTGCGGTAAAATATTTTGCACGAAAATAAAACCTGCGCGATATATAATACGTTTACAGTATTTAGAACTGTGTTGTTATAATGGGATAATTTGTAAACTGACAAATATTTGTATTTCATTGTTAAAAAGTTGCTGCTTTTGATTTATGATGTTAAGTCATTTCTGAAAGGAAGCCACTAACTCAATTTCTAATTTTTCAGACTGCCCAAATGGACATACATATGTCATAACAGAGGTAAGGTGTATTCATGTTTAGAACATACTCAAACTGTCTGGGAAACTTTGGGCAATATTGATACTGATGTACATGTATGAATGTGTAAGCATAATGTTTCAATTTTGATTGTAAATTTGGGAAGTATGATACTCAAAGTTGTTTTAGTATCACCACTTTAAAAGGTAATGTACGTCAAGCTGTGTGCTTTTATTGGAATTAATAAACATGGTTAATAAAGTCCCAAAAGGCTATCAAACATCATGTGACCAAAAACAGTCAGATCACTCACTAAAATTAAAGTCAATGACTGAAAATGATGTGTCAAAAATAAAATACAACAAATTTGTTGTCCCCCCAAAAATATCGGTATTAACCTACTGTGTCTTCTGGTAGAGAAATTATTTGTTTAGTACTCAGTCTATGCTAAGGATAAAGTTACGAGGCCAAATCCTTCTGGCAGCCTGACAGAACTCAGCAACACTCTTACTGAAGCTTGGAACAATTTTTACCTTAATAACCATCCAGATACTAAAAATACTGGGATCACTTCACTAAACGCAACTGAAAGATATGTTGTTTACTATTAGAAGATTGGATGCAATTGCTATGATGATTGTAGGAAGTATTGTGACAGTGGTAAAGTTTAATATTTATGAGCTGTCTGCACAGAAACTTAAATACATAAGAATTAGTTCAAAAGTATATAAATTGAATGTCATAAGGTGTTCTTTACTATTGTCAGTGTGGGCGACCATACACAGCAGGACGTTGTAATGAGTGCGGGGAGAGAATTGGAGGCAGGGATCATGCTGCATTTGATGGAAACACACCTCATGATGGGTAAACTGATGTTGGAGTTCTTTAGATATTTATTGTCCATCTGTTTTATTGATGCTGTCATGTTCACTACATTTTCCATGGAAAAAGTTCCAGGATTATGTGCGCCTTGTACTCTTCACTCTGAAAGTTTCTCTGCAGTTGTAATAACGACATGTTTGCAATAGTTAGTGTTCATCCAACATGTTGTCTAAGTAGTTGGACAAATGTTCCAGGTACTTTTGTGTAGTGTATGCCAATGCATTAAAGATGAAACTAATGAAACATTTCCCTGAAGATCTTGTCAGGCATATTATATTGTAGACATCTTGAATCATTGCAACACCCTGCAGCAAAATGTAGTACTGTAGCATTAACATGATGCTTATCACCAATCAGGCAGGACCAGACCCGTCCTGGTCATGTTCTTGGAAGAGCAGCAGACAGAACCAATGCCTATGCAGGTGAACGCAGACTGGGAGGAGCTGTCTGTGCTGTACTGCGTTTCTTCACTCATGCTGCTTTACTTTTGGGAGCAGAGAACAGCCCAGAGGCAAGTTATTGCTTGCTTACCATTTAGGAAGAAGGAATAATAATTAACTCTGCAACATCTTGTTTAACAAATAATGAAGTCTACATCCCCAATAACCGTTGACTCATGTTCATCACTTCTAAATGCCCTTTGAAGAACTTGTTTCTGGTTGCATGTATTTATAATTCCTAAGTTTTGCCTTCATAGTAAAATGTGTCACATATGTAACATGTTACAGGTAGAAATGCTAAAAGTGTGTTGAACCTATGAAAGTCTGCAACTGACAGATGCATTTACCTTGATCCATTGCAGGCCACATCAGCTCTAGTCTATCCCCAACTACAGCAGGATGTCAGACAGTTTTTCTTGGAACACCTCCAGAAGGACCTTCAGATCATCCACATGGCCACAGGAAAAAGTGTAGATGATGTCTTCCTCCTCCTACACTTCATCTGCCATCAGATTTCTCAATCAGGTAAGTTATACATTTTCATCTTGTATAATATATAGGTATCCATTCTTTAAAATGAAAGTAATAATTAGGGATAAACAAATAAGAAGAAATCTGTTACACAAAAGTTGTACTCAGTTTAACAGTTTGATTTGGTTCATGATTAGATGTAGCCTTGGACACATTCCTGGATAAGAGTTTTAGTTTCTGATCAAAAGTTCAATTTATGTTGACAAATTCAGATCAGGTTTGAAACTTGTATCATGAGTAAATTTAGGTCAGGCTTACTAACTAGTGGAACTGATGGAAAATAAGAATGAAGCCATCGGTTACATGACGCAACCTGGAGCTGCTTGGAGAAAATCACATTTAAATTGAATTATGACTAACTTGGCAGCTAGATGTATTGAGCAAGGGGTCAAATTTCATATCTAGCCAAACTGATCAATTGACACAGAATTCTGTTACAATGATTATTTACTGGTTACTTTGAATTGCTCTTTTCTAGACAAGCCCCGGAGAAATGATGGAAGAATCCTGACTGACAAGTCCAAAAGAGAGAATTGGGAAGAGGAGTTTTCAAAGACATTTATCAGTCCACCACTTCAAGTAAGCAATCAGTCACTACTTGTAGACATGAGCCAGTGTGAGATAAATAATCCAGAAGGGTCCTTGTGCCACTAAGTTCTTTCAAACAGAATATGTGCAAAATCACTTTCAAGGTCAGTAAATGTTCAGTGGAAGCTAAAGAACACTTGATTTTTTTATTGATAATGTTGATATAGCCAGTATAGGAGTTGGTGTAAAAAACTTTTTGAAGAATATATCTTTTTCACAAATTAATAAAGTGTTTTCCCAAACACCGATTTCTTCCTTTTAACATTCTTCTAGTGTGGTGTCATGTCCATTGTTGTATTTTGTTTGTGCTGTTTTCAGGATCTGGAAGCTTGTCTTGAAACATGCAATGACAGAATTCGAAGAGATGATAGAATAGGTAATGTTAATTTATTGCACTAGATATTCTGATGCCAAAATTTAATCATCTCTCAAAAGGAACAATTACATGTATTGTTAGTAATTGTTAGTAAACTTACCTCTGGATTATGGTAGCCTTATTCATGTGGATACACAGAATACATACAGAAAATCAAAAGACATTTTAACACTAAGTTATAGCTATTCCCAGTGGTATACCTAATCTACCCCTGAGTTAACTCCCTTGATCCAGACATCACTGGGGCAGTGGGGTAGCCTAGTGGTTAAAGCGTTGGCTCGTCACGCCGAGGATCCGGGTTCGATTCCCCACATGGGCACAATGTGTTAAGCCCATTTCTGGTGTCCCCCGCCGTGATATTGCTGGAATATTGCTAAAAGCAGCGTAAAACTAAACTCATTCAGTCAGTCAGACATCACTGTATTGTTCTCCTAGAACTCTTCATAATGTTTCTAAAAAACCCAACACATCAATGACATCTTCTAAGGATAAATTCGCGGAGGATACAGGGTGAGAACTACTCCCCAAAATCCAGAAGTAAGTTTACTAACAATTACTAACAATACATGTAATTGTTCCTAATTATAACGAACCGCCTCTGTGGTGTAGTGGTTAGAGCGTCCGCCCGGAGAGACCGGAAGGTCGCGGGTTCGATCCCCTGCCGCATCATACCAAAAGACGTTAAAATATGGTATTGTTGGTCCCTGCCTAGGGCTCGGCATTAATGGGTACAACAAGGACTGATCGGCTCGGAGTCAGTATAATGTGTCTGAGTGGGGTATTCATGCTTCACTGCGGCATGTTATCTCAGTGGGCTAGCACTATAAAACCAGCTTAAGTCTGGGCTAGTACAAGCAACCGCACATACACATACACACGCATGCACGTCGTCATATGAGCAAAGCACGACGTTAAATCCAATCTCACCTCACCTAATTATAACGTAAACATTCCCTCTGGATTATGGTAGCCTGAATCCCAAGTCAGGAAGGAGGCTTACCCTTGGAAGATACTACCCTCTATACCACTAACTGAGAGTGGATTACTCAACCTCCTAAGAATAACTATGACTTAGTCAGAGATAAATAATTTATTTCCAGATTGGTCAGTAGCAGTGGGGGAATACATTCCTAGAGATGGAGAGTCTTCTAACTTCCTACAGTTATGGTTGATATGATAGATATCATGATAATCCTAATCCGTAATAGTAGGAATTATATAATTCCTGACGCCATAAATCCCGGTTTACGCTAGATCTTACAAATATATCATGATTCTATATGAGTCCCAAATTGTGTCATTAAACCTAATATTCCCTTAAACTTATGACGTCACTTCCTGTTTGATGACATCACTTCCGGTCTAATGACTGCACTTCCTGACCCTAGAGACAATCTCTATGATGTAATACTAACTAACCTAGATGGTGTCACTTCCGGTTCTATGACGTCACGTCCGGTCACTTCCAGTCAACTGTCATTAGACTATACATGCGCTCAACTCAAACCTTAAGGTAACCACCTTGAGCTAGTAAATCATATTCTAGCCTGAAGCCATCAATCATAGCTCAGAAGTTAGAAACTCTGTCCATATTGTGCTCGGTTAGGTGATACATCTAAATGTAAATTCTCTTACCACGTCAACCTGTCTTGCTACATGCTGTCTCTTGACCAGTATTCATCATTCTTCCGAGTGGTCCCTCAGATAGTCCCAGGCACCATCTCTCACTGCGTCATCCTTCCTGAAGATGTATACTAGGCACTCAAAGAAACTGTGCATACAAAAATTTAAAATCTAAATTTATCAAACCTGTGTAGACACATAAGGATTTAAACTCAGAGATTAGTGACATGCATCCAACATGCATGCACGTGCCACGTTCCGTGACGTCAGTGGGTTCGTCCTTGAGACGTGCAATACGTTGTTGCATGCATTCGGGGAAAGAGAATGAATGCCACACAATACTGTCACTTTGGAAAGCTCAACCCCTGCCCTTGTGATTGTTCAAAAAATTAAACGGCTATTGAAACGCATAGCATGCCAAGGCTCACGTCTGCACAAGGTCATGAGGCCATTGGGATGGTCCGTGGGGGAATGTCTCAACGACAAGTGGCTGCACATTTCCACTGCCACCCGGAACACCATTTCTGCACTGGTGAGACGCTACCAGAACACAAATGACGTCATCGATCGGCCACGTTCTGGACGTCCATGTGTAACAACGCCAAGACAGGACAGATGGATAAGGGTGACCCTTCTTCGCCACAGGTTTCAGACTGCAGTGATGACTGCCCGAACCATCCCAGGACTTCGCCGTATCCACCCCAACACAGTTCGACAACGTTTACGTCATCCCGGGATCAGACCACGACGTCCGCCATACGGCCTATCCTGACACAAGCGTCATCGACAAGCTCGCCCGAATGTGGTGCGAAATCATGTCCGCAGACCCTTGTTTTGGTGGAGAAATGTTGTTTTTACAGATGAGTCCAGGTTTAACATTTCCCATAGTGATGGACGTCAACGTGCCTATAGACGCGTGGGAGAACGTTATGCACAGGCCTATGTCTTGGAGAGGAATCCCTTTGGTGGTGGTTCATTGTTGATTTGGGGTGTAATAACAGCACGCCAAAGAACTCCTTTGGTGATTGTTCAGGGCAACTTAACTGGTGTGGGCTACAGGGATCAGATTCTTCGACCTGTGGCAGTTCCTTTTCTGCAACGTCATGGCCCTGGGTTAACATTCCAACAGGACAATGCCCGCCCTAATACGGCAAGGGTTGCTATGGATTTCTTGCAACACCACAACGTTGCCTTACTGCCCTGGCCTGCAAATTCACCGGATCTCTCCCCGATAGAGCAGGTTTGGGACGAGATGGATCGCCGTCTACGCTGTCTTCCTCATCTGCCAGATAACGTCCTTGACCTTGCAACAGAACTTGAGAGAATCTGGCGTGACATCCCACAAGCCTTCCTTACACGTTTGATAGGCTCTATGCGTTGTCGATGCACTGCTGTTCTCAATGCCGATGGTGGACATACCCGATATTGAGCTTGTGACATGGTCGTTTGACCCCTGTCCCGCTTGTGGACTCGTGAAGTCATTGTGATTGACTTTTCAATTGAAATTCTCCCGACTTGTTATGGTCTCATGATCCCTCCATTAAAGTTTATATGTAATTTGACATTGTTATGGTACTTATCAACAGGGATAATATTTTCACAATGCACAGTTTCTTTATGTGGCTAGTATAGATGCCAGGTCAACAACACACCCACCCCCCACCACCACCCAAAAAAAAAAAAAGGGGCAGTCAGGCGGAGGCGAGGTGCTGAGCCGCTACTAAAGGTCCTAATGAATGCAAGCCTTCAATAGAGGGAGCAACATCCCTGAGGTAAAAATGGATAAAGGTATTAGATTTCCATTGACAACTATAGTTTGGCATGAAATGCATGTGGACCCGTTTTTTTGTAAATATCTCTTCATCCAATGACCCAATCGATCTCAAACTGTGCAAGTGGATGTTTTGCCAAACAACCTAATCACATTGTAAATCACCGATTTTATGCATTTGTATTAAAGAATCTGTCTATGTAACTGTCAACAAAATAGACCGCAGACTGCTTGCAGAGGGAGGGAGCCAATGACCTGTAACAGCGGCAGTGTTGGGTCATAAAGGTCAATGTTTGCCTTAAATGCCAGATATTTTAGAGAAGCGTCCTGCATAGGCTCATAAGGAGATTTTTGAAGAGATTGAAGTACTAACGTTAAATCCCACTTAGGAAATATCGTTGGAGACGATAAATCCTTAATCTGAAAGGATCTGATCATTTTGTGAAGCGATGTATCCGAGCCCACAGATAAACCTTGAACGTCCATGACTGAAGCAATAGCTGATCGATATCCCTCAATAGTATTATGCTTCAAATGTTTCTGTTCCCTTAGGGACAATATAAAATCCGCTATCATTGGAAACTTGACACTCTCGTCTCCACTGGATGAATCGTCGCCACTTAGCGTCGTACAAGGCAGCTGTGGAAGGTCTAACAGATTCTGAAATAACTCTGATAGCTCCAACCGTAAATCCCTGTTTCCTGAGTGAGCTTGAAATAGCTTCCATACGTGTAGCGCAAGTTGACTGACATTCTTGTGAAACCTGTTGGACTTGGGTTGACTGATTAGATTGTGACACAACGGGAGGTGTAGAGGTTTGTCCACCAATAGCTGCAGTAGAGTGGGAAACCAAGGTCTGGCAGGCCACGCTGGTGCCATTAGATAAACAAGATAGTCGTGTTGTTGAAGTTTTAACAGAACCTCTGGGATTAGTTTGAACGGAGGGAACGCATAGGCTATCATCCCCTCCCATGATATGGATAGGGTGTTGACTGCCCATGCTAATGGATCCGGTACTGGGCTCACAAACGTTGGGATCCGAAAATTCCTGGAAGTCGCAAACAGATCTATGTTTGGAATTTCCCACATTTGTCCTATCAAATCGAATGCCTCTTTCTTGAGAGTCCATTGGGATCACTCTGTCCTGTCGAGATAATGAGTCCGCTAAGATATTCTTCCGACCTGGAATGTGGCACGCCCTGATTAAACAATATATAGCGTCCACTGTTTGATACAGGTCCTGAGTGATCCCGAGGAGCTGTTGAGATTTGGTACCTCCCTGTTTGTTGATGTAAGCCACTACCGTAGAATTGTCAGACACTAACATGAGACAAGCGATTCCCCCAGCATAGGATCCTTTTTAACAGTGCTAACAATTCCCGACAGTTTATATGCAGATTCACCTCTGACGGATTCCACACACCTTGAATCTGCCAGATGTCCATGTGTGCACCCCAACCCGTGTTCTAGGCATCTGCATAAAGCGTCAGATCCGGTAAACGAGGACGTAATGAAACTCCTGGCAACACATTCACATCCAGCGTCCACCATAATATCTCCCTTCGGACTCTGTTTAGAAAAGCAATGAGCAGTTCCAAGTCCTCCA